TTTGTGCCCACAAAGATTTTTCTCACTTGGCACAACTTGTACTTGGCCTCTTCAGGTGTAATATGATGAACAGCAAAACGACCCTTCGTGTCATAAACCAGACGGAAATTCTCTCCAGTCTTGTCAATGCTGATAACATCCATAAAACCAGCAGGATAGGTTATATCAGTTCTGACTTTGCCATCGATCTTAATGAAGCGCTACATACAAATCTTCTTTACTTCTTCTCCTGTCAGGGCACACTTAAGCCTGTTCCTTAGGAAAATGATGAGTGGAAGACACTCTCTCAGCTTGTGGGGCCCAGTGGATGGACAAGGAGGAAACACACTGGTCAATTTATCCAGCATCCAATGCTTTGGAGCTGCTACACGCTTCAGATGCTTCTTGGGATCACGAGCCATGGCTGTGCTAGGCACGGAAAGAGGGCAAGCCCTTGTTAAATGGGTTTATTATTAACTGATTGATTGAAATACAGTTTTTATCAGTTTTTAGAATAGTAAGAATTGTTACTAAGATTTGAGTCTTATTTGAACTCATGCATCAGTCAGATGTGAATTCATTTTCTGAATTCAAATGAAATGTTTATATCGTGGGTATATGTTTATAAATATATATCTACTTCTATCATTAGCTCACCAAAGTTCAGAGTCGGAAGTATGCCACATAGACTCTAAAGCCAGATCCCAGGGTTTGAATCCCAGATCTGCTATTTACTAACTTTGTGATTTTAAGCAAGTTATTTAACCTCTTTGAGACACTTTTTCTCAATTATAAATAGGGATAAAACAACAATGACAACTGCAACAAAAAAATAGCCAGGCGTTGTAGCAGGTGCCTGTAGTCCCAGCTACTTGGGAGGCTGAGGCAAGAGAATCACTTAAGCTCAGGAGTTGGAGGTTGCTGTGAGCTTTGACACCCTGGCACACTACCAAGGGTGACAGCTTGAGGCTCTGTCTCAAAAAAAAAAAGCCAGGCAGAATTGCAGCCTGGCAGAATTCTGTTCAACCTATCAGCTTCACGCTTTCCTCATATTCTTTTTTCTTTTCTTTCTTTCTTTCTTTTTTTTTTTTTTTGAGATTGAGTCTCAAGCTGTTGCCCTTGGTAGAGTGTCATGGCATCACAGTTCACAGCAATCTCCAACTCTTGGGCTTGCTTGAGCAATTCTCTTGCCTCAGCTTCCCAAGTAGCTGGGACTACAGGCACCCACCATAATGCTGAGCTATTTTTTTGTTGCAGTTGTTTTGCTGTTGGTTTAGCCGGCACAGACCAGGTTTGAACCTGCCACTGTGTATGTGACTGGTGCTGTAACCACTGTGCTACAGGTGCTGAGCCTCCTCATATTCTTAAATAGCTTCAGGAAAGAAGGAATATCTGCTTTCCTAGGAAAACACTAATGTATGGATAACACTAATGTATAGCATACCTGGCATAGAATATCAGGAATCCACTTGATTAGGGATGCCCCTACCCCTCTGACTAATCCAGAAAAAGATCATCTTTTTTCTTATTCATTAGTTTTTCACTCATCAAATGTGCTAGCATCAAACATCTGTTGAGAGCCTGTATTT